GGTCTTTCCTACCTGGGCTGGCTTTGAACCGAGATCCTCAGATCTCAGCCTCCTGAGTAGCTAGGATTACAGGTGTGAGCCACCGGCGCCCGGCAAGTCTGTGAGATTCTTGTCTCCAACTAACCACCATAAAAACTGGAAGTGGTGCTGTGGCTCAAGTGGTAGAGCGCTAGCTTTGAGCTGAAGAGCTGAGGGACAGCGCCCAGACCCAGAGTTCAAGCCACATGACTGACAAAAAAAAAAAAAAGAGCATTCAGCTGCAGTGTCTTGTGTTCTAGGATCTCTTAGAAAGCTAAGAATATGGGAAGTTGGAAAATCCTAACCTGTCATATCTGAGCACTCAAGAATGGTAAAAATCAACACATATTAGTAATTCTCTACTGGGATCTCACAGACAGACAACAGAGCACAGGCAGGGGGTGAGGGGCTGAGGTACCTTGTCAACATTAGCTCGGGTTTTAGCAGATGTTTCCACATAGTTTACATTCCACTGGTCCGCTCTGTTTTTTGCCTCTTCTACAGAAACCTGCCTTTTATCTTCTAGATCCGACTTGTTGCCAACCAGTAGAAATGGAACATTCTCATCTTCTTTTACTCTTAAAATCTGCTCCCTAGTAGCAGAAAATGAGAAAAATTAACATAAACTGTGACATGTCACAATAAAATAGTGCTCAGCCACCTGCAATCATAATTTATTGATAATTATATATGCCTATACAGCAACAAGCTCATCTATGAAGTGGCAAAAAATAAACAGTTCTACCTTATTGTATCATTAATTATTTCACATTCACTTCAGTAATATTGTATTCTTTTATAGACATATGGTGGTGGCGGCGGCAGCAAAGTTGTCTAGATGGTCTCTCCAGTTCAAGTACAGTCTAGTCTCCCACACTGTGATATGAATGTGGCACACTGAATATATCAATAATTATTATTTTGTTAGTAGTGGGGGATGGAGCCCATGAATGCTAGGCAATTATTCTACCACTGGGCCATGTGTCCCCACCCAAGATTCTTAGTTTATACAAAATATCCTTTTTGTGTTCCAGGAGCTGATCCAGAGCCCTACAGGACTTAGTTTCCTAAGACTCCACCTAGACTTGTCCAGTCTTCAATAACTGACAGTTGTGAAGTACTTGTTAGGTTGTTTGCAGAATGTCTCTCCATTGGGAATCTGTGTAATGTCTTTCTCAGGACCAAACTGGAGTTCTGGGTGGCTGGGGAAGTCCACAGAGGCTGGGAGTATTACTCTTGTACATCAAGTGTCTCATCAAATCATACCAAGGGCCCCTTGAAATATTTTTAAACCAGCCAAAAATGACAAGGAATAGTACATATTCTGCACTTAGAATTTTTTTTTTTTTTGGGTCTGGTTGTGGGGCCTGAACTCTGGGCCTGGGCGCTGTCCTTCAGCTCTTCAGCTCAAGGCTAGCGCTCTACCACTTGAGCCACAGCGCCACTTCTGGGTTTTTTCTTTTTGCTTATGTGGTGCTGGGGAATCGAACCCAGGGCCTCAGGCATGCAAGGCAAGCGCTCTACCACTGAGCCACCTTCCCAGCCCTTACCAAGATCTTATAGAGAGGAATGATGGAGAGTAGAGAGACAGAATGGAAATCATTGTGGCTTATCTTTGACTGGCTTGCTTTATTCTTAGGCAATGCTTCCTGAGCACCACCACCACCTCTATCCACCACCAATAACGTTTTACTAAGTACTCAACATGGGCTAATCCTTGCTTTTTAAATTAATTCATTTATTTTTTGTGATATTGGGGTTTAACCTCAAGGCCTCGTGCTTGCTAGGCAGGTGCTCTACCATGTGAGGCCATACTCACTACTGTTTTAAGAGTTTTGTATATGCCATCACATATACTCTACCTCAAACCTATTAAGTTAGCATTATTACTCTTCTTATCCTACAGAGAAAGAAACAGAGGCACACAAAAACTATGTTACCTTGTTACTTGGACCTGAAAAATTGATCTTCAGAGAATACACTCAAGTTTTAAATTAGAAATACTGTAGTTCCCCTAATGAGATATCAAAGGGAACAAACCCTGATCAAAGAAGGCTTAGTTCCCTCAGCATGACAAAGAAATCAGGAAAACAATACCTTCCAAAATAGCTCCCCACTACCCAGTAATAAAAGACCTATGTATTAATTTAACCAAGAAGTAAAAGCTGCTCAAGGCATGGCTCAAGTAGTACAGCATCTGCCTGACAAATATAAAACAACAAAAATAAGATGTGGTAAGAAGAATAAGCTCTCTACAATGAAAACTAAACCTTGAAGAAAGAGATTGAAGGCATCAGAATATACAACACCTCCCATGCTCATGGATTGGCAGAATTAATATCATGAAAGTGGCAATACTGACAAAACACAACTCTACAGATTCAGTACAATCCTTATCAAAGTCCCAATGTCATTCTTCACAGGAATAGAGAAATCAATCTAAAAATTCATATGGTGGCATGGTAAACCCCAAATAAGCAAATTCATTTTTTTTGCCCGTCATGGGGCTTGAACTCTGGGTCTGGGCGCTGTCCCTCAGCTCTTCAGCACAAGGCTAGTGCTCTACCACTTGAGCCACAGCATCATTCCGGTTTCCTGTTGCTTTAATTATTTTTATTTATTTATTTTGTCGGTTGTGGGGCTTGAACTCTGGGCCTGGGCACTGTCCTTAAGCAAAATGTTTTAAACTGTTTAAAGGTTAGAATTAATACTAACAAAGTAAGAGTGACATCTTAGTGCAATGTCACAAGGTTTTCTGTGGCATATATTAGACAGGTAATCTATCACTTGAGCCATATGCCCCGCTCTTTGTGCTTCTGTTTGTTTTTGAATCTTGTCCTTTTGTGCTGGCTGACAATCTTCCTACCTCTACCAACAGGTGGCTGAGATTCCAGGTGCATACCACATGTGCAGCCTCCTTTGTAGCTTATTTTTGTTACTTTTTATTATTATTATTAAGGTGATGCCATTCATAAATCAAGTAGTGAATACCTTTCTTTTTTGAATTATGTCACCCTTCCTTTGCTTTACCCCAGTTTCCTCCTCCTGTCCCTCCCTGCACAGAGATTATAGAGTGGTGTTGTACTATCCTAATAGAATGGTCAATGGTTTAAAGGAGAGCCAGTCTTGCAACACTGTTAAATTGAGAAATATGAGAGTCCTCAGGTTTCAATTGTATGCCAGTGCTGATGACCTGAACCAGTCACTTAACCTCCCTATGTTTCAGTTTCTTCATTAAAAACTGAGAAATATTTTTTTAAAAATGATATTTAAGCTGGGCACTGGTGGCTCATGCCTGTAATCCTAGCTACTCAGGAATCTGAGATATGAGAATCACGGTTCAAAGCTAGTCTGGGTAGGAAAGTCCATGAGACTCTTATCTCCAATTAACCACCAGAAAACTGGAAGTGGTGCTGTGGCTCAAGTAGTACAGCGCTAGCCTTGAGGTGAAGAGCTGAGGCTGAGGCCTAGGCCCAGAGTTCAAGCCCCACAACTGAAAAAAAAAAAAAAAAGGATTTACTCATTGTTGCATAGCATAGCATAACATAGTTGCTGAGCACTGGTGGCTCATACCAGTATTAACTACACAGAAGGCTGAAATGTGATGAAATCTGAAGCCAGGAGGAACAGAAAAATCTGAGACACTATCTTCAATTAGCCAGCAAAAAGCTAGAACTGGATGTGTGGCTCAAATGGTAGAGTACAAGTCTTGAGCAAAAATCCAAGTGAGAGCATGAAGTCCTGAGTTCAAGCCCCAGAACTGGCACAAAATAACAAAAGCCACAAATAAACAACCAAACCAAACTAAACCAAAAATCAACTGTAGGCGTTCTCTTCTGTATGACCCAAACCTTTCAAGTGTATAAGATTCCAGGACAGCTGTATATTTGGGAAATGTACATCTTAGTGCATGTATTGTGGTGGCATCTACCTCCTGGGTGGTTGTGTGGGGTCACATTACTGCTTAGGAGTCTGGTGGCCAGGTGTTATCATGGCTGTAACTTCATTATCTGCTTAGCAATAGGAGTATACTTTCTACCAGCCCATGTACAGCAAGTTCCCTGGACCTAGACCGTCTGTTCTACCAGGTAAAGACCAGGGACCACACAAGAAGTCATCTGTCATGATTTGTGCTGACTTTTAAAAAATGCTCCTGAGGGCTGAGAAGGTGGCTCAGTGGTAGAGCGCTTGCCTTGCATGCATGAGGCCCTGGGTTCGATTCCTCAGCACCACATAAGCAGAAAAAAGCTGGAAGTGGTGCTGTGGCTCAAGTGGTAGGGCAACTAGCCTTGAGCTGAAGAGCTGAGGGACAGCGCCCAGGCCCAGAGTTCAGCCCCTACAGCCGACAAAAAAAAAAAAAAAAAAAAAAGCTCCCAAGTTCAAACCCCCCTCCAGAGTCACAAAGTGTGCTCTCTGGGTATTTGCATATGTCATGCATAGTTCCAGGATGCTATGATGCTTCCTACCACTTATCTTGTTGTCCTGAAAAAAATGTCAGTATTAGCCAGTATTGCCATTAAACTTATGATTACTTGTGAAAAGGATTTTTACTAATTACAGTATTTTCTCAGAGTTGGCAGCAACAAATTTGCTGTGATTTTCAATTCCTGCTGACAGCACTGTCACTGCCTGATGCAGGCATTCATGTGGGGTACCACTTGTGGTGTAAGTGTATAGACTCAGGAATCTATTTGTTAATAAACACCTACTAGGGCACTGGCAGGAAGGCAATACTGAAATGACATGGGGCTGATCCTGGATAGCTGGGTCAGAGGTGAGGGGATAATACTCTGTAGAATTATTATGGGTTGGTTGTATTAGGAACTTACTTCCCTGGATGTCAGAGAAAGCAGTGCTATGGTATAACCTTCATATACATTTTGCTTAATTATGTTTCCTTTAAATACAGTTTGGAAGTTATCACAGATTTTAGAATAAAAAAGTCCTCTTAAAATCTGGTTCAAAGGGCTGGGAATGTGGCTTAGTGGCAGAGTGGTTGCCTACCATGCATGAAGCCCTGAGTTCCTCAGTACCACATAAGCAGAAAAAGCCGGAAGTGGCGCTGTGACTCAAGTGGTAGAGCACTAGTCTTGAGCCAAACAAGATCAAGGACAGTGTTCAAGCCCTGAGTTCAAACCCCAGGACTAGCAAAAAAAAAAAAAAAATCACTTTTGCTAGGCGCCAGTGGCTCACACCTGAAATCCTAGCTACTCAGGAAGCTGAGATCTGAGGATCAAGGTTTAAAGCCAGCCCAGGCAGGAAAGTCTGTGAGACTCTTATCTTCAATTAACCACGAGAAAACGGGAAGCGGTGCTGTGGCTCAAGTGGTAGAGCAGTAGTCTTGAGCTGAAGAGCTGAGGCACAGTGCCCAGGCCCAGAGTTCAAGCCCCACAATTAAAAGAAAAAAAAAAAAAACCAAAAAACCCTCTGGTTCAACTTCTTCATTTCTGATATAGGGAAAATGAACACCAAAAAAGAAGAGTTTTCAAGTGAAATAAAATGTTTATTAAAATGTGCTATATCATTGTGGGACTGTAACTGTATCAGGGGCAGGCAAATGCCTAAAGAAGGGGTCCCAAGACCGGCAGATCTGAGAATCATGATTTGAAGCCAACTAGGGCAGGAAAGTCTGTGAGATTTTTTTTTTTTGGGGGTATGGTCGAGGGGCCTGAACTCTGGGCCTGGGCGCTGTCCCTCAGCTCTTCAGCTCAAGGCTAGCACTCTACCACTTGAGCCACAGTGCCACTTCCGGCTTTTCTCTTTTTTGCTTATGTGGTGCTTATGTGGGCCTCAGGCATGCATGGCAAGCGCTCTACCACTGAGCCACCTTCCCAGCCCCAGTCTGTGAGATTTATCTCCAATTAACTGCCCCCATAATGCAGGAAGTGGAGCTGTGACTCAAGTGTAGAGTTCTAGTCTTGAGCAAAAAATGCCCAGGAACAGCACCCAGGTTCAAGCCACAGAATTAGCACCCCCCAAAAAAAAGCTAGGTGTTGGTTGCTATAATCCTAGCTACTCAGGAGTCTGATATCTAAGGATCACAGTTTGAGGCCAGCCTAGGCACAATAGTCCCTGAGACATTTTTATCTCTAATAAACCACCCCCCTCCTCCCCAAAAAAGCCAGAAGTGGGGCTTTGGCTCAGTGGTAGAGTGCTAGTCTTTTTTGTTAAATTAAATTTTTATTTTTAAAAATAAAAATTTAATTGAATTTATTTTACATGCTGTACAGAGGGGTTACAGTTACATGAGTAAGGTAATGAGTACATTTCTTGCTGAGCATTGTTACCCCCTCCTTCGTTGTTCTCCCACTATACCCCTTTCTTCCCCCAAGAGTGCTAGTCTTGAGTGAAAAAATCTCAGGGACAAGCCCCAGGCAGGCAGGCAGGGAGAGAGGGAAGGAGAGAAAAAGAGAAAAAGAGAAGGGCAGGTAAGCAGGTAGGCAGACAGGCAGGCAGGAAGTTTCTACCATTTTAGTTTTAAGAATGTAAGAGTAGCCGGACACTGGTGTCGCACACCTGTAATTCTAGCTACTCGGGAGGCTGGGATCTGAGGATCGAGGTTCAAAGCCAACCCGACAGAAAAGTCTGTGCCACTCATATCTCCAATTAACTACAAAAAGCCAGAAGCAGAAGTATGACTCAAGTGGTAGAGTGCTAGCCTTGAGCACAAAAGCTCAGAGACAATGCCAGAGTTCAAGCCCCAGGACCAGGAAAAAAAAAAAAAAGAATGAAAAGAATATAGTATGATATGGAAATGTGGCAAGTGATCACATATAGATAAAAGCAGTGGTGTTGCAGATGACAGGAAAGGAAAGCTAAGGAGAGGAGAAGCGTTGTGCTGCACTTGGTTAGAGCACGGGGAATGCCTCTGTAACCATTCAGACCTTCTCAGATGCCTTCCCCACTGCTGGTGAGTCACCAGCTGGTTTTATATATGGGAAGTGCAATGCACTGCAGGCACAACAGAAGAATAATGAATCAGCCTTATTTTCTCTAATAGTCATCGTCCAAGATTCTCGTTCATGGCATAAAAATACCTTATTCCCTTGAGATGCCACTTTAGCCTTAGTAACTATGGAGACAAATTTATTCCATCACCTAGAACAGGGCCTGATACATAATAAACTCATGTATTCATTGAACGAATATTATATAACCTCCACATTTCCAAGGCTTTCAAGTTCTCAAGAACTTCTGTCCTTTGTACTTTTAACATACAGTATATTAAATGCCTTTCTTTCTGAAATCAACAAATTTCATTTTGTAAATAAATTAATAAGATGTGTCTCAATAACATGTCTTTTTTGCAAAGATTCAGAATCCTTTAAGTTTTGTTGTTTTTTTTTTTTTTTGGTCAGTCATGGGGCCTGAACTCTGGGCCTGGGCGCTGTCCTTCAGCTCTTCAGCTCAAGGCTAGCGCTCTACCACTTGAGCCACAACGCCACTTCTGGCTTTTTTCCTTTTTGCTTATGTGGTGCTGAGGAATTGAGCCCAGGACCTCATGCATGCAAGGCAAGCACTCTACCACTGAGCCACTTTCCCAGCCCTCCTTTAAGTTCTAGAGAGTTTCAAGTATACAAAGAAAAAGAATGCCAGCCCTCGCTCAGTGTTTTCTTTTGCTCAACAACTTGAAATGCTGCCTTCTCTCACCTGGAAGTCCTCTTCTCTAAGCTCATCTATTCCTGACAACCTGAAAACACCTCTCATCTGAAAGTCTTCTCCTCTGAGCTCACCTAGTTCGTGAAGGCTTTTCACCCCTTTCCTCTATAATGATCACTGCCCATGTCTCCTCTTCTGCCCCGAACTTGCTCCCGCTTACATGTCTTGCACTTTCAACGAGGTTGTATAATCTTCATTAGAGGATGCATTACACACTCTCCGTGTGTCGCTCAACCAAAGAAGATCAGTAATAAATAAAAATCACAGAAATAACCTCTTTCATTGCATATTTGTCAGAAAACTCAAGAACCTCATTGTGCCAAATTTCTCTTAGGTATGCAGAGAGAAACCGATAGTCCACTCACCAAAATTGTTCAAATAGATTTGAGTAAATGAAATATATTGTAAACCCAGCCTAGCGTGCTGGTCTACAGTGAGATTACATGTGTGTTACAGATTCTGTCCATTTCTGAATGGAAACTTCTATTTTAGGAACTCAGGGCACCCACATCATGAGAAGCAAGGCAAATTGCCTACTAAGCATTACATAGGTGCTGAGGTAGCAATGACTAACAAAGACTTAACATCTAGGATAGCTCTGATAGGTGACCCAAATACAAATGGCAGTAGTAATCCTTTATTCTAAAGAGAAACCCTTTGGTAATATAATATAAAGGGACTCTGGGTACTCTCAAGCTGCCACAAACTCAAGGTCTGATACATCTGGCATAAGATAGCTGTAAGAGGGCTGGGCAACTGGCTTAGTGATACAGTGCTTGCCTAGCATGCATGAAGTCCTGGATTCAATTCTTCAGTACCACAAAAACAGAACAAGCTAGAAGTGGCGCTGTGGCTCAAGGGATAGAGTGCTAGCCTTGAGCAAAAGAAGCTCAGGGACAATATCCAGGCCCCTGAGTTGAAGCCCTAGGACTGGCCAAAAAAAAAAAAAAGTAGCTGTAAAATTAGGCAAAATATAAAGTATCTATGTGAACATGCGCAGCCCTTGAACAGTCACATGCTTAGAGGCAGTAGAGGTTAGTAAGTGAGAAGCTCCAGTTGTCCACTGTCTTTGGGAAGAACTGTACACAGAAAGCCAGGAGTACACAGTAGGCTGTGAGTAATGGTACCCTCAAATAAACATACCTGAAGTCAGCTGTGGCTGCAAAGGATTCCAGCTCTGTAATAGAGAAGACGCAGAGGAAGCCCTCCCCACTTCGGAAGTAGTTGTCTCTAATGGCGGCATAATCCTCCTGGCCCGCAGTGTCTAAAATATCGATCTGCACTTCCTCCCCATCCAACACCACCTTCTTCCTGTAGCTGTCAGCTTTGGTAGGCTCATAGTCCTCCACAAACTAGAAGGGGTGAAGAACATATATGCACTTGAAAATTCTTTTACTTTTCAAAACTTATTCTGAAATCATTGCAGATTTGCATGAAGTTGCTCAAATAGTACAGAGGTCCAGTTTCCCCCAGTGGTAAAAACTACATACATTTCTATTTTTATTAATTTCCATATTCATTAGCTGGACTCCTTATATGCAAGAAAGGGGGCTGACAGTACTTCTTGGGTGTTCACAGCTTCAACAGCAGATTTTTCTTTCTTAAGACACTATACATGCAAAAACCATCGCACACATATTTTGTATCAACTTTACAAGATCGCCTTTCTAAATAACTCTAAATATACTTAATGTGTGTGTCCTAGAATTGTGGAAATAACTTTTAAGTAAATACTGAAGCAGCCACTGAAAAAGTCTTTTTTTTTGTTTGTTTTCTCCCCTGGTCCTAGAGCTTGAAATCTGGTCTGGGTATGGTTCCTGAGCTTTTGTGCTCAAGAATCACCTCAGCCATAGCTCCACTTCTGGCTTTTTTGGTGACTAGAAATAAGAATGTTCTGGAGCTGGGAAAGTGGCTCAGTGGTAGAGCGCTTGCATTACATGCCTGAGGCCCTGGGTTCGATTCCTCAGCACCACAAAAGCAAAAAGCCGGAAGTGGCACTGTGGCTCAAGTGGTAGAGCGCTAGCCTTGAGCTGAAGAGCTGAGGGACAGTGCCCAGGCCCAGAGTTCAGGCCCCACGACCGGACCCCCCCCCAAAAAAAAAATAAAATAAGAATTTTCTGAACTTTCCTGCCTGGGCTGGCTTCAAATGTGATTCTCAAATCCAGCACTCCTGAGTAGCTAGGATTATAGGTATGAGCCACTGGCACCCAGCTTATACTAGCAACTTTTAAGTCATTAACATTTGAAAGTCCTCTAAGGAAAGCATATACTGTAGTATGAACGTATGCTGAGACTTGTAACTCAAGGACATAAAATCTGATATAAATATATTATTACCAATTTAGTGATACTATCTTTACTTTTGGTGGTGAGTGTAATGCCACGTCAACTACACAATAAAACCTAACTTGCTGACTACGGTTATTAATGTTTTATATATGTCAATCTTAAGTCTCAATTAGATTAGTATCCACCAGCTCTATTACTTTAAGGTAGAATGTCCATTACAATACTAAAAAGAAAAAATGGAAAGTTGTATTACTTGTAAAGTTATTTTTTTGAAGCTTTCCCAGTAACTATTTTGGAAAATTTCTATTTTCTTAGGGAACACAGAGAATAACAGCAAAGAAGTAAGCACAAGTTGGGACAGTAAGAACGTCATGATGATTCCAGGTGCTGGTGGCTCATGCCTATAATCCTAGCTACTCAGAAGGCTGAGATCTGAGGATCACAGTTCAAAGCCAGCCTGAGCAGGAAATCCATGAGACTCATTTCCAATTAACCACCCAAATCTGGAAGTGGTGCTGTGGGGCAAAGTTGTAAAACACTAGCCTTGAGAGAAAAAGCTTAGGTCCCGAGTTCAAGCCCCACAACTGACAAAAAAGTAAAACAACAACAACAAAACCCAGAACCGCATGATGATTAATGCATGAAGAATATTTTGGGAAAATTTAAAATTTTTCTTTATTGGTATTATGAAGGTGATGTACAGGGGTTAGTTACATAAATGAGGTGAAAAGTACATTTCTTTCCTTTTGTTTTGCCAGTCCTGGGGCTTGAACTCAGGGTCTGGGCATAGTCCCTGAGCTTCTTTTACTCAAGGCTAGCACTCTACCACTTGAGTCAAGGCACTACGTCCAGTGTTCTCTGTTTATATGGCACTGAGGAATCAAACCCAGGGCTTCATGCATGCTAGGTGAGCACTCTACCACTAAGCCACATTCCCAGCCCAAGAATACGCTTCTTTTTAGAGAATGTTACCTCTTCCCTCCCTCAATTTTTCCCTCACATCCTCACCCACAAGTTGTATAGTTCGTTTTCAACATAGTGTCTAGTGAGTACCACAGCTGTGTCTGTTCACCCTTTGTCTCTCCATTTCTGTGACCCCACCTTATAAAGGTATATATAGATAGATATTGGCTCTAAATTTTAAATTGGAAACAAATATTAGCAGCTTTCAAAGGTTCAAGGAATTCATCCAAAATAGCACTAAAACTAAGTTAGAGACTTTCTTCAAAGCCCAACTTGGAAGCTCACTATGAAGCCGGCACTCACCTCATCATACATGAACTGCAGAGTCAGCGCAGACTTGCCTACACCACCACTGCCCACCATGATCACTTTGTGTAAGGCCAAAGAATTCTGACCCTTGGGCTTATTTGCAGCCATCTTGTGTTGTAGTTTTCTTCAGAGGATTATGAAGAATCTAAGAATGAAGGAACAGTAACACTAAGTACATTCTTCAGAATTCCAGTGTAGGCAAGAGATCCAATGTCCTTAAGGTTCAAGATACTGGTTTTCATTCTGAAGTGATTGTAGACAGCTGGCAAATACAGAATGCTCATTTGGAGGAGAAGCGCTAGCAGCGAATGCCATGGCATTGTGCCTCAGGGCACCTTTCTTGTTACTGTTAGTTTCTATAATGAGCTCGGACCAATGTGAAAATTTCCCAGGGCAGCCTGATAGGGATGGGCTACTGGAGGAGCTGGAATATTCACATAGATTATGAAAACAGGTGAGGACCATTTGGCTTTCCTATGAGTACCTACTGATGCCCCCTCTAATTTCAGTAAGAAACAAATGGTCACCAAAAAGCCTGCCATGCCTAATGGTAAGGACTTCACTGAAGGGCTTTTCATATTCTAAAAGAAGCAACCATATTCCAACTATTTGGTAATAGAAAGACAAAGAATCCAACATGATAGCCAGCCACCATTTTATGAGAGCATCTGTGTTAACCTGGGGCGGACTTGAATATTTGGATGAAGCATATCTCACTTTCCCCGTGTATTTGTTAATACATCCAGGAATTGAGTAGAGACCAGGTTCCTGCAAAAGCTGAGTGGTGACAACCACCACCAGCACCCAGGCACCTTTGGCCAGGGTTTCAGGCCTTAGGAATAAAGGGCTCTGAGGTCACCACAAACACTAAGTGTGTGTGGAGGCTCTAGCCCAGGAGCCTGGGGGAAGAGTGGAGCTGCACTTTCTTCCTCTGCACCTCTCTGGTTGTTCCAGTCACAGTTTTCCTAAATTGTAGCACCATATCCTGCTCAGTTCTCAGTCTGTGCCCCCTTCTCCCAGCTTAAGTACAACAAACCATAACTGGTTTCCTGTTCTTCAAATCCTGTCTCTCAACATTCGATATGCAGTCTGTTTGACAGATTCCTGTTGGAGCTAGAGTTTTGGGTTTTAGCCTTACTTCAAACTCTCAAAATAAAGTTGGATTTTCCTTGCCCTATATCCTCAAACTGCACCTGACACATTCTCTTTGTAACTCTGACCACAATTTGAAATTGCTCCAGTGTGTGGATATTCAGTGTAGGTCTTCTCTAGTCTAGAAATCTGAGTGCAGGGGCCGAGTCTGCTCTATGTAACCAACATGGCTGGTGAAATGAGCCCCAGAGTACACATGGGCTGCACTGCCCAGTACACAAAGGCTTACAGCCAGATTTAAGCTTGGGCACAAAGAGTTACTGCTACTTGAGATTCTATCCCAAGTGGGGGTCCTGTGCTACCCCTTGTATCCTGGTTGCCCCAGGCCTCACCCAGAAATCATGCCCACGTCTACAGAGTATTCAAATAAACAAATCAACTAATATGAACAGGCTGAACATTTTTAGGCAGATGGTTTTTACTCTGTAGTTAGCCCAAGTGAGAGTGTATACATGCATTGTTTGTTCTGTTCTGGAGGTACAGCTCAGGTAGTATAATGCCTGTCTACAAGATGTGGCCCTGGGGCTGGGGGTTTAGCCCAGCGGAAGAGCGCCCGCCTGGCACGTGCAAGACTCTGGGTTCAGTCCTCAGTCCTGGAAAGAAAAAAAAAAAAAGATGTGGCCCTCAATCTGGCACTGCCAATGAATAAATGCAAATACAAACTAGTACGCTGAGTTTAATTCTAATCCTCTTTACCTGAATATTGAGAACATAAGCACGAGATTCTGAGTGCTCATTACCACTCAGAAAGTGATAAATTATAGGATATTTCAGATGACTGACTGGAAGTCTGGATTCCTAATGAATCAAGAAATGACTTCTCACTGTTAGATTTCCTTGCAGGTAGCTACAGTTATTTCACGGCTACGTAACTACTGTTTTATTTTTAAAACAGTAAGGACCACATGAGGTTGAGTGTTATTACCATATCAATTAATACTTTGTAAGTGTGTGTGTGTGTGTGTGTGTGGGCGCGCGCCAATGTGTAGGCGCGTGCAGTGGGGCTCAAACTCAGTGCCTTACATTCTTGCCTGGCTTTTTCACTTAAGGCTGATGCTTTGCCTCTTGAGCCATACCTGCACTTTGGGCTTTTTCCTGGTTAACTGGAAATAGGGTCTCACAGTCTTTTCTGCCCTAGCTCTCAGCCTTCTGCATAGCTAGTATTTATAGGCATGAGACACCATCACCCACTGCCAACTAATACTCTTAAATCTGTATGTGTTTAAGCAATGACACCAAGTGGTTAAAATATCTTTCCTGCTGAACTAATTTTTTTTTTTTTTTGTCGGTCATGGGGCCTGAACTCTGGGCCTAGGTGCTGTCCCTCAGCTCTTCAGCTCAAGATTAGTACTTTATCATTTGAGACACAGAGCCATTTCTGGCTTTTTCTGATTATGTGGTGCTGAGGAATTGAACCCAGGGTCCCATGCAAGCAAGGCAAGCACTCTACCCCTGAGCCACCTTCCCAGCTCTTTAAAAAAAATTTTTTTTTAAATTTACTTATTTTGTTGCCAGTTGTGGGGCTTAAACTCTGGGCCTGGCACTGTCCCTGAGCTCTTTAGCTCTAGGTGAGCACTCAACCATTTGAGCCACAGCACCACTGCTTTATTTAATCTGACTCAGAAATAAAGCTGGGTGGCAGTGGCTTTATACCTGTAATCCTAGCTACTCAGGAAGCTGAATCTGAGGATCACAGTTCAAAGCTGGTCCAGGTAGGAAAGTCCATGAGACTTTATCTCCAATTAACCACCAGAAAACTAGAAGTGGAGCTATGTCTTAAAGTGGTAGAGCACTAGCCTTGAGTGAAAAAGCTCAGGGGCAGCACCCAGGCCCCAAGTTCCAGCCCCATGACTGATTAAAAAGAGAGCCTCATGATGATTAAATTATGAATATTTTGGGAAATTACAAAATTATTGTTATTATATAGGTGGTGTACAGGGGAGTTACTGTACTTAAGTAAAATAAAAACAGAAAGAAATAGAAAAAGGTGAGCTCGAGGACATTTTTTCCAAGTATAGACATTCCCCCATATCTCTGAGTGGCACACTGCAGACTCCCAAGAGGCTATTCAGGAAAAGAAGCACCTACCAAGGAAATACTATTCACCTCTCATTAAAGAAAACTTGGCCCGTTTGCAGCTTAGCTTCTTATCCCTGGGGAATTAACTTGCTATCACTGTGACAAAATATCTGAGAAAAGGGAGGTGTGGTAACAAATCTTGGCAGGCAAAGGCAGGACCATGACCTTGAGCCCCATCAGTGAGACTGGGCCTAGCAGTAAGACCCTGACTCCAAAATGAAACCAGCTGGGTGCTGGTGGCTCATACCTGTAATCCCAGCAACTCTGGAAGTTGAGATTTAAAGATCTCTGTTTGAACCAGCCTAGGCAAAGAAGTCCATGAGATTCTTATCTCCAATTAACCACTAAAACACTGGAAGTAGAGTTTGGCTCAAGTGGTAGAGTAGCAGAGTTTGGCTCAAGTGGTAGAGTGCTAGCTTTGAGCACAAAAACTCAGAGACAGTGTCCAGGCCCAGAATTCAAACCCCGAGACCAGAAAAATTAAACAACAATAAAACCAACAAAGCGGCTGGGAATGTATCTCAGTGATAGAGTGCTTGTCTAGCATGCATGAAGCCCTGGGTTCAATTCCTCAGTACCACATAAACAGAAAAAGCCAGATGTGGTACTGTGGCTCAAATGGTAGAGTGCAAGCCTTGAGCTGAAGAGCTCAGGAACAACACCCAAGCCCAGAGTTCAAGGCCCATGACTAGAAAAAAAACAAAACAAAACCAATGAAGCAGAAAGCAAACTAAGCCAAAAAATCCAAATGGTTAACAACTGGCCTAGATGTTCTTTCAGTGCCCCAGTTGACCAACCCTGCCCCCCCCCATCTATCTAGCTAAACCGAATTATGCTAGGTTCAAGGTGCTAATGGGGCGCTAATGGGATAATGAATAGGAAAGTGGGTTATTTTAACCAGATGGTCAAGGATGCCCCATCTGAAGATGAGAAGCTGAGACCTGCATCTCATGAAGGATCTAGAAGCAGGCTGGAGAGGATGATTGATGCCTGGTGAGTGATGGGCAAGTAACACAAAGTTAGACTAAAAGGCAGGGCAAAGGCTAAGTCACAAAAGACCTTGAAGGCCACGGGAGGTGCCTGGATTTTTTTACAATTGCAGTGGAACGCCACTGAGCGTTTCTATCTAAGCAGGAGAGTGCCTTAATTTTATTTGTGTTGCTGGAAGATTGCCTAGGCTGGCATGTGAGTAGATGACAGTGTGAGGGCTTTCGCGGGAGGCTCCCACAGGAGTGCGGGCGGGACAGGGGTCTGGGCTTCAGCAGCAGGCAGCGACAGAAATGGTATACTAGTTCCAGACGCCAGGCCTTGTGCATGCTCCGTATGCTCACCCAGATGAGTACATTTCGTAGGTTAGCCACTATCTTCACTTCACTTAACAGATGAGGAATCTGGGACAGACGTGAGTTGCCTCAGGCAGGACAGAACCGCAATGAGGTAGCTTGTCCCTAACCACAGAGCTGTCTAGGGTATTTTGGAGAAACGAGGGACAGGATGCTACTTGACTGGAGGAAGGGAAAGAACAAACAACTTCAGTGTTTTGGGCCTAAATATCTGGACATGAGCTGCTACTGCTACCTAGGGCAGACCCTAATTAAACTTTCTTTCAGTAAGAAAGTAGATGGCCTCGTCTCCATCTCTGTTGTCATTCCTGACCTCCATTTGTTGTTGTTGTTGTTGATGATAGTGGGGGTCTTGAACTCAGGGCCTAGGCACTGTCCCTGAGCTTTTTTTTTTTTTTTTTGCTCAAGGCTAGTGATCTACCACTTTCAGCCACAGCACCACTTCCAGTTTTCTGGTAGTTAACTGGAGATAAGAGTTGCACAGACTTTCCTTGCTTGGGCTGGCTTTGAACTATGATCCTCAGATCTCAGCCTCCTGAGTTATAAGGATTATAGGCAAGAGCCACCAGCA